AAAAAAAAAAAAAAAAGGAAAAGAACAAAGAGTGCTGTAACTTACAAAATGCACGATGGAGGCGCGTGGTGGCTTAGAGGTGATGGATCTTGGACCAAAAGGCATGGATCTATAAGGAAATATGCAAATGCCGATTGTAAATCCAAGGAAAAAAAAAAACTAGATTGCTGCGCAGGAGAGGGGCCAACTCACCGTCAACATCATCGGCGGGATATTCTAACAGCATGGGGCTTGGCAACGACAAGAACAGCGTCGAAGAAAATGAACCAGATTGTCGTAGAGGAAGAAGAAGAAATGGGGAAAGAAAAGGGGGTTCGGGGGGGTTAATCAACAGGTATATTCGACAGCATTGCTGTCGAATATACAGAGGAAACGTTGTCGTTTCCGACATATTCGATAGCAATGCTGTTGAATATCTCAAAACATAATTGACAGCCTAATGGCTGTCAATTATACATGGGTACATATTCGACAATTCTTTTGTCGAATATGTGTTCTGTCAAATAAGAACCAAAAAATCGATAATAATCGACAATCAAGCATATTCGACAAAAATGCTGTCGAATATGTTTTTATATTCAACAGCCAACTGACTGTCGAATATGTTCCTATCGTTTTTGCCTGGTTTTCTAATAGTGAATTAAAATAAGCCACTCATTAATTTAGGTCTTGAAAAATAATATTATTCTTGACCTATTAAAATTATTTTGATGATGTGTTCAAACCAATCACAAAATGCCATCTGTCCCAATTACAATTCAAAGTATTTGAAGGGAAAGTCTGGTTCTTTAAGAAAGAATATATTAAAAATATTCATTAAATTAAAATATTTGTTGTTCCAATCAATAAAATTAAAGCATTTATATGATTTGTCAAATAAGAATAAAACTCTTAACCTAAACTACTAAGGAAATAGTTGGCAGAGAAGTTCTAATCCTAAGAAAGAACTCCTCAACCCATACATATAAATAGGGCACCTCCTTAAGACTTTTCACAAACTTTAGAAGTAGAAAACCTTTTCAAGGACTAAGCTTTTG